ATACGTATGGTGTTAAGGTAGGCGTAATGAAATCAATTGTAATGTGGAGTTTACGCCTAGCCGACGTAAATAATCAAGTACAGGAGTTATAAAGACTAAGCAAAATTTTAGTTGAGAATAATTATCCTGTAGGATTAGGTGTTTACAATGTCAAAATATTGAGAAATAGGATGAAGTAAAACCATTATTTTGGTCAAAACAAAGAATTATACAACTCTTCGGCAAGATTCCTAATGCTACCATCCTACAAGTTTTCAAGACAATGTATAAAGGAACAATAACGTTTTCCTCGATCATACCTTCTTTTAGAGATTCTTTCTCCGCCATCTGCAGATCAGGTTGCTAAAAGGTTTTGTGCCCATGTGGTAGTGTTTATGGGGGGGAGACTTGTCGACCCATACATAAGAGGCTTTCAGAACACAGAACCTCCTGTAAAGTTGTATGGATTCAGAAATCTGAATTGGCTGAACATGTGGTCGCTACAGGACTTCATATAAAGGGGTCTAAATCCCAACGTTTTGCCGGATATGGGGACTTCACAGCTAGGCGGAATATAAGGCAGTCGATTGAAATTAACAAAGCAAACAGCATCCTGAATAAGAGGAACGAATGTAGGAAGCTAAGTAAGAACTATCTCTGGCTTATAAAAAGAATGAGGAAGAGAGAGAAGGAAAGTGAACAGGAAGAGCCACTGAGGAAGAGAAGACTAGACTAAGCTGGCGCTTGTTTTTGAACCTAAAATTGTCAACCATCTCGGGGTTGTTGCATACACACGCAAACACGCATCCACGATGCTGTAATAAGACCCAGGATACCTGGATCATACTCTAGTTTATTTACATGGGCAAAAGTTGTGACCACATCTGCTCCCTTTTCTGCATGCATAAAGGACAAGCATACGCCAGCCAACCAAATCATGGAATGCCTCATCAAAATCGCAAAGTAAGGTATAAAAAGTAAGTAGGATCTCAGCTGGCCACATTTCTCGGTTGAGTGTTTTTTGGTGATTGTTAGAGCATAATTGTTTCTGGCCCTGATGGTGTCCGTCACATGAGGGACGAAAGTTCAGCATGAAATCATCGATGTGGTAGGACGTTGAACCGAGGTCTTCTATGCACAATTCAACAGACGAAAGTCCAAGATAACCTTCCTTCGGTATCCGATGAGTCCAATCTACGAATCCTTTCCACCCGCTTTCTCAGACGAAATGAAAGGCATGCCATTATGAATAAGATTTTCAATTCTTTTTATTTTATCAAATATCATTATTCCCTTTAAGGGTTTCACCTCTAGATCGGCAGTCTTAAATCTTTTCGATTTAGCGGGCCTTAGTCCTGTTTCTTCTAGTCATGGACTGAATTTTCATCATTGTAAGTTTTATTTTGTACTTAATCTCAATGCTCTATATACAACTTTCCTAGACAGCTTCTAACAGATAAGGTTTTCTTATGTGGAAATGGTTAGAATAAGAGGTAAAATTATCCAAGTCAATCAAGTAAAAATTATAAATAATGTCAATATTTCTTACAATACACAATACTATTCCTGCAAAGTGGAGATAAGCGGTATTTTGACCTTTTAGATCCTCTTAATTGAAATGTTCGCAAATGACGAGACAAAGTTATGATTTCATCCATCCATTTCACGACAGGTAGTACAAGACTATTTTAACAAGCATTTTGGAGGGCCTCAGTAAAGCACAGGCGAGGTTTAATTATAGGATGCAAAGTACCAATAAATTATGATTTCAGTTTTAGTACAGTTTTTACTTTTACTAATTTTATTCGTCTCTTTCGCTTTGGCAGACTAATAATACCATGAAAGAACTTCATCTGGCCAAATTCGGCATGAGCGACTTTGGAGCCAAAAGGTTGGCTGACGCGATGGCCCGGAATAAAACGTTGGAAATCTTAGATATCAGCTGGTGAGAACATTTATACCATTATCCACCTTAGAATGACAAGTTGGTGAATTCCTGCATCATTCTGTTGCATTCTCTTGTTTCGTTTGTAAACGTATGATGGGGAGATTCGGTGTACTGCAGCCGTTTGGCTGTAATACGACTTTGGGGTTGACGTAGTCCATCAGATATCCTCCCTTTATTTTGGCTGAAACTGAGCTTAGATTTCGTCAGTTATACGATAGACATCATCAGAGCTAAAACTTATTTTTGCAAAAGCCTCAAGGTAACAAGACAAATTCAAGAAGGCTAACCTATTCTATCTTGCATGCTATATATACTCAGCTCGGCTTAATCCTACCAATGCGACCTGAGCGAGAATAAACCTGCAGTCAACTCAGGCTGAAAGTGCCTTTATGACTCTGCGTGTGTGTGTATATATATATATATATACATGTGTGTGTGTAGTATAGTGTAGTGTGTAAGTCTACGGTATAATCGGGCCTTATCGCTCCGTCGTTTAGGCTACAAACATCCCTATTCGGAAGACATAAGTAATCTTGATGATTGATTTCACTCGACCTCAATCAATTCTACTCATTCAGGGTGCGATGCTGCTGACTATTCTGATAAAAAAGGGATAACTGTAATATCTTAAAGAGTTGTAGCCACCCTTATGCTGCATAAGGGTGATATGAATAGGTATCACTATGCAATTAAAATTTAATTAGCCTTGACTACCAAAAGGTATTCTTATTCAGAGTGGACTGCAATTTGGACGCCGCCTAGGTGTCGTCAGTACACCTACCGGCAAGTGAACCCTGATACGGCGTTTATTTTCGACATGTTTCCACTACTCCACACTGCCACGAGTGCCAGTCAGCAACAGGGCTGAATTACAGTTAAGGGGAAGCTAAGCTAAGCGAAATTAAATAGCACCATTAGGTCTACTTATGTCATTGTGGGAGAATTTCCAAATATAGCCATTCACCACCTCATGCAATATAGAGTGACTACAACTCTTATTCACGTTCTACTATAAATCATAATGCTGGCACGTCGAAACTAAACACTGTACTGACCTCGCTTTCGCAACTTGGTCGTGTTGTCATGGCGACTTGGTATGGCGCACCCTGTCCGGGGTCCTCTGCTATAGTATTTATCATAATTACCAGCGTCGGACCGTGGAATTGGTACATTTCCAGGCGTTTTGCTGGCACGGTCGGAGGCTGGGAATTATGATAAATACTATAGCAGAGGACTCCGGACAGGATGCGTCCAATTAAGTCCCCCCGACAATATGACCAAGTTGCGAAAGGAAACCACGGGGGTTTAGTCTTCATATCTACATTTAAACACTGTCCTGTCTGAGTTCAGTTTCAGTACTGGAAAAGGATGAGGGCATGCGAAATCGAAACTGTCGTCCAATAAAAGATGTGAACCAATAAAATTGTAAGCTAAGTCATCGAATTCGCCAGTTAAGTAATAAACTTTACAAATAAGTACTCTAGCAGGCCTGTACTCGATTTGTTCGATTCTCACTGAAGGTTTTGATATCGAAACTGAAGTCAACTCTGAATAAGTATACCTTTGGCAAGCAAGGTTAAGCTCACTTATATGGCATCCTACTTACCTCAGTGTTGGAAAGTTCACTATCATTCATTCATAACTTTATGCGACCTGGGGTGACTAAAGCTCTTGTTTAAGATCTGCTGATAATCTTGAGAGCCAAATTATTTTTAATACCAGATTATCAAATACCATAGTGATTATTGTAATATTGTACATACTTAATACATATTTCCTGTTAGTTGACCTCTAAAAATATGATACAGGAACTTAGACTGAGCCCAATTTAGAAGATAGAAGATAAAAGGGTCTAGTGCAAAGAATCAATAGATCTGAAACGTCTACGGGTAGCAATTCAGATACAAGTTGTACATGCCAAATTGATGAAGCGATTCATCTTTGAAGAACGACGAGAAGTCGCAGCGCTGATCGCTGATTGCTGGTCGCTCGGGGCAAAATGTATTTGCGAAATGAGATGTATTCACCCTATTTCGTTTAAGCCGATGAAGGACTGGTGGTACATTTTTCCCGCAATGATATGAGTAGAGCTGACGTTTCCATTGACTTTCACATAGGCTTGCTTTACCAAAAGTTGTTTTCATCCAGGCTGAAGTGGACTGCAATTTCTACTCCGCATCGGTCTTATCAATACCCCCAGCGGGAGTCGAACAGTGACAGTGCAGCATGCGAGCCTGACACGTTAACCACTCGTCCACATTGCCACGAGTGCCCTCGGGTGGATACATCTCGTATTACTGATTTACTGGTAGTCTCGAAACTCGACTTGCATACGAAAAAAGAATTTTCTATCTCGGAGCGAATATTCGTGTTTGAGTTATGACGAGCGACTGTGGTACTCCTCTATGCAGGGGTCCAACATCGACGCTACGACGCAGACGCTGATTTCGATGCAAATGCGGGGTGAGAAGACGAGTCCGATAAGGCAAGCTGACCCGTTTGAGGCTGACACTGCGACTTTTTCACTGTTGAGCAGAAGAAACAAGATTGTGCGTCATCCGACGCGGCGAACCCGCCGAGGGAGACGATGTCGGGGCGAAAATCGATCAAATAAGGCGTTCTTTCCTTTCAATACGTTGCGAGAGGTAAAGCTTGGCTTCTGATTGAGGCATAACGGTCGACTTGGCGTTGGGTGTGTGAGGCCGGAGTCTAGTGGATCCAATGGCGGGCTCAGGTTCGACTGACGAGGTTGTGATTGGTCGACTGTAAACGAGTGAGTTGTGCTTCGATCACGAAGAGGCCGTGTGCGTGATGCAAAGGCTTGCTGCATGGGACGGTCACAGATTTCGGCATAATGTGACAGTGAGGCGAATGGCTTGATGTTCACGGCTGACTCACTACAATACGATTGTTGGTAGTATGTGGGTAGGGTTCCGAGACTACCAGTAAATCAGTGTGATGAGATGTAATAGATGTTGGTAGTACTATATACTTTTTTGTGTTGTCACAGCGACCTCGACGAAAGACCCTTGCCTGGAGCCTTCTGCCTTCCAGTGTGACAATATCGGCCTGTTTCATTCCTATTCTCATTATGCATTGGGGTCGCTTTGGCAACACGACCAAGTCGTGAAAACAAGGTCAAACCACTTCTGAATTACGAAAATTGTCGATAAAATCAACACTGACCATCATATTTACCGACGGGGTATAGATTTGCAACTAAAATAGGGGGAAACGAGAGCTTAATTTGGCCTATAATGGTATCGGCAAACGTTTGAACCAGGGTATTTGAGCCTCGTTTGGTAAAATTACTATATACACACTATCAAATGCTCGAAGCCGACTATGGGAATCAGCACCATTTCACGATTTGGCGTGGGCCGAATCAAATCAGTGAACTATTGAGATAAAAATCGAGTCAGCTAGACTGTACCACAAAATCTGAAAAGAGTTGTTTTCGAAATTGTATAGGATTAGCTTGCAGATTGGACGTTGAGCGGTATGGGATAAGTGGATGTATCAGGACAGAAAGACGAGAAGGAGCACAACCTTTCAGCATATATTATGGCAGGACTTTCATCTCGAAAGAACACTTGGTTGGAAAGAATTCGTGAATTTGTCCCACAAAAAACCAACGGAAGATTTGCGCAAAATCCTCTTCTTTTCGTCTTATTAACCCGATTAACCAGTGCTAATCATCCGTTTTGCATGCGGCAGGCATCAACTTTACGAAAAAAACGCAGCAAATACAATAGGCCAAGAAATAAGAGCCTTGCATACTTCTGAATTTAGAATACTTAATTAGTATCACATGATTTTTTATTTCGAATGAGAAGTTGCCTGAAAAGAATTCGTGAAATGGACTTAACATAAAGCGAAGTAGGATTGCAGTGGTGGGAGGACCGTTGGATTGCGTGAAGAAGCGCTCGGTTCACCGTCCTGCGACCCCGATAAACCTGTGCTAAGCTTTCGTCTATAAAGTGACAGACATCATCAGAGCAACAACCCATAATTTACGAAATAGCGAAATAGTGCATTTTTTGCGCTATTTCGTAAAGAATGGAATCTTGTTTTGATGATATCTTTCATAGAGTTACAGACTACAATTTAGCGCAGGTTTATCGCTGTCGCAGAAAGTTAAGACAAGGACTTAATCGTACGACGAAACAATGTTCACTACGCGGCAATCCTTCGTTTTCTGGTAGAACATTTCACGAACTCCTTTCAACCAGCCTTTCCTTCTAAATGAAATGTCGGGTTAAATTCTTTGAGACCCAGTTTTTCTTTAATATTCATTAGTGTTTTATCGTGACATGACTTGAGATTTTAGGCTTGACTATTAGTAAATCTAAAGTATTCACTATCCATATGTGCTCGGCTCCATGCTACCGTATAGAATACCCCAGCCCTGTACAGAATAACACGGAGTGCCTTGTCTATAAGAAGGAAAGTTACCGGCGAGGATTTTGATGTGGGAATAACACAGACGCTGGCGGAGCGTCAGGGAAGCGACGGGGCAAGGGCGTTTCTGCCTTGAAATACTCTTGGGTACTTTTAATATCACGTTCTGATTGATTAAACGAAGAGGCTCGATGCGGTGACTAGGTTCGCTTAATTGATCTGGGCACAGAGCAGGTAAGTCATGTTTCGCTTGATGTTGCATGAGCTGAGAGATAACCGTAAGAGATGTAGCCGAACTGAATGGGGAGTAAAAGTTATTAAAAACTCAATCTCTACAATAATCCTATCTTGCTTTTAAATCCAAAATTAATCAAAAAACATGCATTTGACTAAAAATTCAGATAGCATACTAGAGCTTAGAGTTCAATCGACATTTGGCACATGCATTTTATTTTTCGTATATGAGTAGAGTTTCGAGACTATCAGTAAATCAGTGATATGAGATGTATTCACCCTATTTCGTTTAAGATGATGAAGGACTGACAGTAGAAATTTCCCATAATGATATGAGTAGAGCTGACGTTTCCATTGAATTTCACATAGACTTGCATTTCCAAAAGGTGTTCTTATCCAGCGTTGACTGCAGTTTCGACCTTGCATAGGCCTTATCAACACCCCCAGCGGGAGTCGAAACGTGACAGTGCAGCATGTGAGTTTGACACTTTAACGAAACTGCAGTTCACTGGTGCCTGGATGAGGACAACTTTTTGGAAAACAAGGCTATGTGAAATTTAATGTAAACGTCAGCTCTACTCATATCATTGTGGGAAAATTCTAATGCCAGTGATTCATCACCGTAAACGAAATGGGGTGAATACATCTCATATATATGCATATTCAATTTTAGTTAGCTCCTAAAAGTTATTCATTCAATTTTATTTTGCTTAGACACAGTTGAAACTCAACTGTCTTTTTCTTACAAATTTTGCTTCCTTGCTGCTAGTAACCACATTGCTAGAGACGGTGCAAAGGCATTGTCTGTGGTACTAAAGGCAAACTGTTCCCTTACTGTGCTGGACCTTGCCTTCAATCAGATCCAGTGCGCTGGTGCCATTTACATAGCTGATGCCCTGAAGGAGGGCAATACAAACCTGCGTGTGTAAGTCTGTTTTGTAGCGTTATACTTAATACGCCTGATTTTACGCCTCTTCTAAAGTGCAACCTAATGTGCTCATTCATAATATTACCTGCTCTTTGAATTATTATCTCCTAAATGACTCTGTCTTTTTTTATAATTCTTATCGTTTTGGATTAATCTACACTTGTACCTTCGTCACATCCTAATTTTATAATTCAATTCCTCAGCTCCATGCATTAGTTGCGCCCTGATTTCTAAGGCCATATTAAGTGACAGTAAGCTGTTTCAAAATTTCCTATAATTGATAAGGCATTATATTCTTTATGGACTAATTACAAAATTGGATAAATCTTCATGAAAAATAATAATAAATATTATCATAAATATTTGCTGTATGCTAATTTAGTATGACATTCATGATTTTCCCGTAATTCCCCGGCTAACCAAGGCCTAATGCTAACTTACCCTCTTCGATTTCATTTATACACTTTCAAATGGAAGGATTTTGTACACAATTTG